AGCCCGAGGGCCCGGGGCCCAGGAGTCCCATATTTAATCTTCAGCATTCCATCCCTTTGTTAAGGAACTGGAAATACCAAGTTTGATTCTGTCTGACAAAAGTTTTTGGTCACAAATATAAAAGGATTTTTTGAAAATGTGCATTAATTTCAACATCCGTATATTAGAAATATGGTCAATACCACTCCTTAAACCAGGAGAGAAGTTCCTGTCTTTGGAATTAGATCTAAATCAGTAAGAATATAACAATAAGTTTTTGCTCACTTGAGTACTCAACAAATACTTCAAAGACATTGTTTTCTTGCTCATTTAAGTTTCTACTCCAATATAACCTTCATGTAACACATAAAGAAAATGAATGTACACTTAGCATTTAAACAAAGATGTAAAAAGGTTTTAAATTTGTGTGTAGAAGGTGTCAGTATTTCTAGTGATGAACCTACCATTACAGTATTTCATTAAGAGTGCAACATTTCTTACACCAGTATTATTGATGAGAATTGATATATCTCTTGACATAAATGTTTTGATATTGTAATAAATAGTACAAACAGAAATAAGTCTCATTAAGGCAGATTTCTTTCAGCTGGGCTATTTGCCTGAGTTTAGCATTTTGGAGTACAGGATCTTAACTCTCATAGGTTGGTTAATGTTCAGATTTATGTATTTTAAAAGTATGGAATTCTTGAGATCAGTAGATGGCACAGTGGTTACATCGTTTGACTCCCATAGAGTCAACCACAGTTCAAGTCCCAGACCTGGTGGCTTAAAACTCATACCAGGTACATGTGCATGCCCAAAATCCAGAAAGAAGAAGAGATTGCAATGTGGCCATCCCCCGCAGGGGAGTGATTTCTCTCTTTTGTCTGTCTCTTTCTGTCTCTCCAGTGAGTGCACATGTCCAATAGCAACAAATATCTCTTAAAAAATTGATTTTTTTAAATCTTAGACAAGAGGTATGTTGATATATAAACATATGTGAAGGTAAGTATGAAGATGTTAGATGGTAAGACACACATTGCCCTTCTTATGGCGACAACACATAGGTCATTTATATAGAATATAATTCATTTAGTCTTTACAACAACCTTAGGAGGCATTATTACCTCATTTTCGAAAATAAAGACAGTGCATCACAGAGGGTTAATAACTTCCCAAGACCCACACAGTTATTACGTACTGAAATCAAGATACGAAATCACAGTGAACGTTTCTAGGCAAAGAAAAAGTATCTCAGGCAATGAGACCAGCATATACAAAGGTCTGGAAGTGATGACATGATGAAGTGATAGAGTCAGGAAATGAAGGAATGAAGCTTATTGTGACTGGATTATATAGATTGAGGGAGCAGGAGAGATTGAGTTAGGAAGATTATATCATGCACACCTTTATTTGTCATGTTAAGTAATTTGAATTTTGTTTTTAAAGTAATGAGAATCCACTTTTAAATAACAAAAAGACAAAATTAATTTTGGATTTTAGAAAAATTGTTCAAACAATATCAGGGATTAATTTAATTATTTTAAGGCCTAAGGCAAGGCAGGAAGATCAGTGAGGAGGCTTTTGTAGTAACCCAGTTCAAATTTGATTACGAACTGATCTAAGGTGCAGGCAGTAGGGATGGAGGATAGATGTTGCATGGATAAAATGATTAGGTAGCAATTTGGGAAAGATAGATGTCTCAATACTGGTTTTTTTTTTTTTTTTCCTCTCCAAATCAACCTCATTTTTTTAAAAGTTCATTTTCCATGAAAGAGAGAAAGAGACAGACAGATACCCCCAATAGTGTCTTCATACTATGACCTGTCCTCAGACTTGTCTGGCCCAAATGGTGGACATATATGCATTCACATGGACAGAGAGGCCCCTGGGATGTGAATCCAGGACTTTCCCATGTAGATCCAGTTGTGCTACCACTATACCACTACCTGGCCCATTAACCCCATTTTTTATGACTTTTCTAGCTAAAATGGCACTAGAAAACTCGATGTTTCTGAGGCATAGGTTTTCAAGTACCCCATGTAGTCCAAACTGAGGAAACTTTTCTCCTTCTCACAATAGGTAACTATGGTAGACTGACTATAGTGGTGAACATGATTCCCACATGTAGGGTCGATGCCACATTGTGATTCCCTTTCCGTGAATATGGCAAATCCTGTGGCTTACTTCTAGCCATAGAGAATATGGCAAAGGTGAGAGAATATCATGATTATGATATGTAAGACTACAGTTCTTGAGATACTCTTCCCTTGTACACTGGCCTTATGGAGCACCATTCCATTTAAAGGAAGCCATGGAGTAAGAAATAAAGACCCTCAGTTTGGCAGCCTTGAGGAGGTGAATGCTGCCAACAAACAAGTGGGCTTAGAAGCTGATGCTTCTCCAGTTGACCTCAGATAAAATCCCAACCCTGGTGGACACTTTGTTTATAGTCTTGCAAAAGACCTACTCAGGCTATGCCCAGATTCATTCCCAACAGAAATTGTGAAAAAATAAGTATGTGTTGTTTTAAGTTGCCAAGTTTGTAGTAATATTATAATGGAGCCAAAGGTAACTGATACAATGACCAAGAAGTATACATCAACGTGCTCTACCAAAAAATATGGCCTATGCCAATTTGTGGCACCTGAAGAAAACTAAACATTGGCTGTATATTTGATCTCCTTAGCCCCCAAAAACCAAGAAAGAGGAAAACAGGAGACTTGAGGTCCAATGAAGTTAACCCCTGAAGAGTATGAGGGGTTCACAGAATTGGGGAAGTGTTCCAGATGCTTAGGTTAGAAAACAAAGACCAGCCTGGTTCTAAATCTTCAGAAAATAAGGAGGGTTAGCAGGACAATCTCCACCTTGAGTTAGATGACTGACACTGAAGATAGTGCCACAAACAGATGTAAACCCAACCTGGGAAAATAGCAACTTGCCTGAGGAGGCTCAGCAATCAGAGAAAAATATATCATTTAGAATATCTTAGTCCACATACAATAAAATGTTGCTAGAATACAACCAATGGCTTTCAGAACAGAAAAATAATAACAGCACTTACATAGAGTCAAGTAAAACTAAAATTGTAATGTCCCAACGTAATAAATTGGAGGGAAGGGTAATCACTGTTGATAGCCAAATTAAAGACCTGGAGTATCAAAGGAAAATGAATATAGAAGAACAAAGAAGAAAAGGCTAATGGTGTTTTTGGCATAGTATATGTAAAAAGACACATCTTTTATTTTATTTTATTTTATTTTATTTTATTTTATTTTATTTTATTTTATTTTATATTTGCTATAGGGCACGTGTGCTCGCCAGACAGACAGAGAGAGACATAGAGACAGAAAGTGAAAAATCATCCCCTGAGGGGATGGTCACGTCACAATCCCTTCTCCTCCATTCTCCTCTTGGGATCTTGGGCACGCACGCACACGCGCCCGGTGTGAGTTTTAAGCCACCGGGTCCGGGACGCGAACTGCGGTCGACTACATGGGAGTCCAGCAACATAGCCATTACACTAACTGCTGGTTCCCAAAAAGACACATCTTGGAAATAACCTTGAAATCCATGAAAAAGGCATATATTACATACAGAAAGTTATGCTGGGCCAGTCAGTGGCATGGCGATTAAGTCAACTAGTCCCCATATGGTTGACTTCACAGTTCAAGTCCCAGATCCAGTGACTTGAAAAACATTCTGAGCACATGTGAGTGCATGTGTGCCTAAAATCCTGAGAAGAGGGTAGAAGAGAAGAGATTGAAGGGTGGCCATCCCCTCCAGGGTGTGTGTTCCCACTTTCTTTCATTCTTTCCCTCTCTAGCAAACACACGTTCTATGTCAAAAATTAAAAATAAAAACAAAGTTAACCATAAATTAAAATGAATACCATAATACTAGCACTAGACTTTCTTATCTGCAATATTTGAAGCTAGAAACATCTCTTATTACTATGAGAAAAGACTGAACCCAACCAAGATATTTCTCACTTGTGAGAGTGAAAGAAATACTTGTAAAAATGCAGAATTTGAAATACATCATTAGGTGTGTTTTTGAGAAAGATAATGATGAAAGAAACCTAACTGAAACAAATATCCAAACAAAATGCCAAAATCAAAATTTTATACTAAAGAATATGAAGAAATAGTGTTAACCAATAATCACAGCTTATTATAAATATTAGGGTGCAAGTAACATGTATTATTAGCTCTATACTGAAAGGGAATGTCTGGTAACAGTCTAGAGATGAAAGTATTAAATTCTCTGAAATATAATCTTGATGTAGGTGTGAAGGTATAGAGAGGGAAGAAATCTAAGTATTCCAAAGCTCTCATTCTTCAAAAGGATAAGGATGTGAAAGGAAAAGGAGAAAAGAAGGATAATTTTATAACAGTATCACTTGAGAGCATCACTCAATGCCATGATATTTCATGTATAATACTATTAAACAACTGGGCACTTTAATGGTTTTTAGGGAGGTTATTGCTTTTTTGTTTTTTGGGTTTTTTTGGAGAGGTTTTTGCTACAGGGCGTGTGTGCTCGCCAGACAGACAGAGACAGAAAGCGAGAAATCACCCCCCAGAGGGGATGGCCACGCCGCAATCCCTTCTCCTCCATTCTCCTCTCGGGATCTTGGGCATGCACACACATGCGCCTGGCATGAGTTTAAGCCACCGGGTCCGGGACGCGAACCACGGTCGACTACATGGGAGTCCAGTGACATAGCCATTACACAACTGCTGGTCCCAGGGAGGGTATTGTTGTATCATTATTGCATGAACCAAAATACTATAAATTCATGTTATAACATCTGCCTTATCATTTTATGTCTGCAAAGAACCTTGAAACCCAAACAAAACAGTGAGTTGTTTTATTCACCAAATCATTAGACTATTTGACAAGGGCTACCAATACTCAGTGAAATTTCCTAAATGCTTTGCTTCTTTTGGCAATTGCCAAAATTGCTATTGCTAGTTGCACTAAATGTTCATGTTCCTAATAGTCTCTTCCATTTGCAGGAAAACTAGAATTGTAGCAGCCTAAGTGTTTGCAATTCCTTAACGGTGCTGCATTGTTCTCTCACCAAGGTAACACCATCTCTCATGATCCTTAGCTTTCTTGATCTTATTTGTATTCTAGCGGTTCTAGTACTTCTGTTTGTGTATTTCTGTCATGGATCTATGCCTCCACTATGACCGCCTGAGTACAGGTGGTCTCTGCATTAATACTTGACACCAGACTCTCCTGTGTCTTCACTGTGTCCTCTGCATCCTCAAGACTCTTGGGAACCAGCAGTTAGCATAATGGCTATGTCGCTGGACTCCCAGGTAGTTGACTGCGATTCACGTCCTGGACCCAGTGGCTTAGAACTCACGCCGGGCGCGTGTGCGTGCGTGCCCAAGATCCCGAGAGGAGAATGGAGGAGAAGGGATTGCGGCGTGACCATCCCCCCTGGGGGGTGATTTCTCACTTTCTGTCTCTATGTCTCTCTCTGTCTGTCTGGCGAGCGCACACGCCCTATAGCGAAAAACCTTTCAAAAAAAAAAAAAATACTCTTGCTCTGGCTCAGTATTTCCTGCTCTCTCTTGTCCTGAAAGTAAGTTTAGACAAATTGTAACATCACCAAATGCCATTGATGGCTATATCAAATCTCTATAGTTTATGCTTTCCCCAAGGGATTACTTTATCCAGTGAAATCAGACTTAGAACACAGAGAGCAGTGTGTTTCTCATTAGAGCAGTCAAGGGGAGTATAAAGCCCACCCACTAAACCTTTTAATCAACCTCACACTTTCATTGAAAGAATGTTCCAAACATAAATCTTTTGTATAAACTCTTTACTTCTAGTTTATTTAATAATTTTCTTTAAGTAGAGTAATTTTTCCTATTATTTTTCTTTTTTCTTTTTTTTTTTTTTTTGTTTGGCTATAGGGTGCTTACTGGAGAGGCACAAAGAGAGATAAAATGAGAAATCACGCCCCAGGAGGCATGCCCATGCTGCAATCCCTTTTTCTCCACTCTCCTCTAAGAATTGTGGGCACACAGGCACCTGTACCTGACTTGTTTTTCAAGCCACTAGTCCAGAACTCGAACCACACAGTAGACCATGTGACATCCAGGCACCCCAGCCTCCATGCCACTAGCTGGCCCCATTTTTATTTTCTAAGTTATTATAAGATGTGAAAATAGGAAGATCCACAGATCCACAGATGTAAGAACCACTCTTAGAGCTAAAGGATTGAGATTTTATATACTGACAAATGGTCTGGGGCTGATTGTCAATGTCCCAAGGTCTTAGACACAAGACAAGAGGGAGGTGCTAAGAGTGTCCATGCCCTAAGACCTCAGACACAAGACAAGAGGAAGGTGAAAAAGGAAAGAAACAGTTGGACCTGAGTTGTCTCATCAACATTTGGAAGAGATGAGGTTGGGAAGAATATACTGCATAATGCAAGAGAAAAAGAAGAGAAGAAACTGGAGAACAGTGAGTCTAAGATAAGTAGGGAGATAGTCACAGCAATGGAATGAGCTGTGAAGACTGAAAGGAGGTTGAGATGGTGGAAACTTAAAATGGGGACAGTGGTGGGGGTGGGGGAAATGGGAACCTGTGAATTAGGCAAGGGTTTTGTTTGAGAAAGAAGGGACTGATGAGGACCACATAAAAGCAATAAAGACCCAAGTCAAGAAACTAAAATGAAGGAAAGGAAGTTAAGAGATTGCTAAAATAGGTTTGAGGAATAGTCAAGGGCCAAAGGACTACAGGGGGAGAAACCAGGGTCATCAAAACATACACACAGAAGCTCTTGAGACTGAAATCAGCACCCTATCCGTGAGTTGGTGTATTATCCTGGCACTACCTAAAATTTTCTTACGAATCATGAATGATAACTGAACTGTAGGCTGGCAAAACCCTGGTATGGAACAAATATCTCTATCAATTTTACCTCGTATAAGTCTTCAGATGTGTACTCTAGGATTTATAGGAAAGAGAATCAATTAATTAATTAACATTAATGAATATTAATGCTCACTCTTCCATATTATCCAGTCAGTTTATAGGGAAGCACAAACATCATGAGAGAAGAAGGCTACTGTGAGCGGGAGAAACCAACACTGAATTTGCTGTGTGCCCTTCCAGGTAGGTATTTATATCACTCCACTTAAAGGCAATATGGCATTTAATAATATAGTTTAAATATACCACATTTAGGAATTTTTTTATGCCTTAGAGAAAGCTGCAGGGTATAGAGGTATTAACCTGTACTTTAAATTTTAATAGCTAGCTATCTTGACACCTGTCTGGTCATTAAGACATCCTGGAACCATACAAATCTCACTCTAGAAAGCATTTGATATAATTATCATTACCACAGGTCTACTAATGAGAGTGTAACAGTGATTAAGCAATTTTCTCTCAGTTCCAACTCGTTTCTAGTTGGATTTGTGATACTGGGACTGAGCCTCTGCAAACTGCATTTCTCCTTTGCCATCTGCCCCCCTGTTAAGTTTGACCAATAGATGGACACTAGAAAAATTCAAGAATTAACTTGCTGCTTATTTGCTTGTTATTTCTGCGTCTTACCTCACAAATAGCTCTTACCCTTCTTTCTATGAATAGTTTGTCTAAGTTTTCAGTTTCTTCTGTCCTTCTGAAAATTACACTTACTGACACCAAGATGCTAGACCAAGCAGTAATACTTACCCCTTCAGAAGTCTTACTTCAAGCTCTGATAGGATCTTTGAGATCCCTTTATGCTTCTAGATTCTGTTCACCTCAGCCATTGTTAAGGTGACCGTTGCCTCAGTGTCCCCATTTTGCCTGGCCAGCTGTCCAATATGTAACCAATACCTAGCTTATAATTATTTAACCAATATTTTATATTAAATTATCTGTGATGAAATAAAGAATGGAATTCTCATTTTCATTAATGAATTCTGATTAAGTCAGAGAGGTACAAGGTCTTCTGAAGAAAAATATATAGAAAATTTCTAAAATTATGAGAGGAGGAGAGGGGACTGTGGAATTGCCATCCCCCCAAAGGATGATTCTCACTTTATCTCTCTCTGGGTCTCTCTTTCTAGTGAGCACATGTGCCATGTAGCAAAACGAACAAAAAATTCTTACCAAATCTACCTTTTTCCAGGCCATTGTATTCCTTGCAGTTGTTAAGAAACAGTCTTACTACCACCAGCTGTCCTAGCTCGTATTTCACTTCTGAGGGCTGTCAACCCTCTCCTAATCCACCCAACTTACTTATTATTTCAGAAACATGACTATATGACTGCCTCCTCTTGGGAGTACACATGACAGTTGTTGTTTATCTCTTCCTCTGAGTGTTTTCTATCCCCCTTCTCAAAAATTACTTCTCACGACATTCTAATGGAAGAGCAAAATGGTCACCTTGTTAAACATTTTGTTTAGTTAACTAAAGAGAAGCATAAAATGTACTTGTGTCTCCAGAGTCAAGAGATCTTTCCCATTGTACTCTTATTTTTCCTTCTCCTTGAACAAATAAATTCCTCTGGAAATGCTGCCACTTCACTTAGTCTGATACATTAGTATCTTTTCTAGCAAATGTATGTATGAGAATATATATCAACATTAGAATTTAATCCTGGCCCCATCAATTCTCTGCCTCCCATGAAATACTGTGACAACAGAAGCCCCTAGGTCAAAATGTAAAGCCCTATCCACCTGACTGGAACACGTAAAACTCTTCGCATTAGATAGTCAAGTGGTCTTTACTATTGTGTTTAAGATAAACTCACTGCCATTGAAAGCAAACTGGAGAAATGTCACCCCCAACCTGAGCTTTGAGTTTTTCCTGAGAGATTCTTTGGGAGGTGGAGTTTATCCCTCTCTCCATTGCTTTTCTTCAGAAAATACATGCAGAAGGATAGTCAGCTTACATTCTATATGAAAACACAACCATCTGTGGTCTTATTTATTGATTTACTTATGTGTTGCAGCTTAAAACTACTCTGTGTTAATTTGTTGTGAACCAGTATTTCCTAGTGTGAAATACAGATTTCTTCCCTTTCCTATTAGAAACAGAGTAGATAATTACATTTCTTACTACTTAATTATTTGACTCTCAAGGGGAGGAGCAAATCTTCCTCATTTTTTTTTAAACAAGAGTTGTTATGCAACAAGATAGAATAAGACTGGAAGCAGTTCTAGAATTGTACTGTGAAGATTTCTGTGAACTTTTTCTCCAGTACAACAACCATAACTGGTGAAAATTATATACATGCATATAAATGTGTGTATCTATCAAAAGCCTCTGAAATTGTCCCAAAACATATACGTAGAATAATAGAGCCAGCCAGTGGTGTAGTGGTTGAAGTGGATGGATCCCACATGGTGATCTGTCTGGTTCAACTCCTGGACCCCAAAGGCTAGAGAAACATGCTAGGTGCATGTGTATGTGTGCCCCAAATCCCAGAAAGTGAAATGGAGGGTGCTTTCTTACTTTCCCTCTCTTTCTTTCTCTCACTCTAGAGAGTATATGTACTTTCTGACATTTAAAAAAATTAAACAGAAAAGAAAAAACATATAGTATAGAAAATCTTGGTAAGAACAATGAGAGTATACAGCATTTGAGCCATGAACTGCTTCTTATAACTCAGTAAAAGGAATTTTCACTCCTGGTAGTTTCCAAAAAGACAGGGTTCTCTATCCCCTCAATTTCTAGCCTAGAACTATAATGTCTCTCAGGATGGGAGTAGGCAAAATGTTACTATATATCACCTTCAGTCCTATATTGCAGAAATGCTCTTCCAGGCAAGAGTGACTGAGAGGTCTGTGGCTTCCTTTATCAGCCAGCTCCATATTGTAGGGTAGAAATTTTACCCAATTTATGGCTGGCAAGAACATAGGGCCCCAATTATCTTCATTCAAGGTTGCTTATTGAGCAGAAGTTTCATGCCATAATAGGCAATCTGAGAATACCAGTGCCTACTGTCTCTGCCCAGAAATCCACTCTCAAAGTAGAGCTATCACTTTTTTTTTTTTTGGAGAGGTTTTCGCTATAGGGCACGTGCACTGGCCAGACAGACAGAGACAGAGAGACAGAAAGCGAGAAATCACCCCCCAGGGGGGATGGTCACGCCACAATACCTTCTCCTCCATTCTCCTCTCAGGATCTTGGGCACGCACGCACACGTGCCCGGCATGAGATTTAAGCCACCGGGTCCGAGACGCAAACTGTGGTCGACTACGTGGGAGTCCAGCGACATAGCCATTATGCTAACTGCTGGTTCCCCGAAGTAGAGCTATCACTTAAGAAAAGTAGACCACTATCCTCATCTCCATCTTTGGAGCTCGGACACAGAGGTTTTACCTATGGGAGAATTAAGTCATAAAAATAGGAATCTTGGGAACCAGCAGGCCTCCCACGTAGTCCTCCGCGGTTTGCGTCCCGGACCTGGTGGCTTAGAACTCACGCCAGGCGCATGTGCGTGCCTGCCCAAGATCCCGAGAGGAGAATGGAGGAGAAAGGATTGTGGCGTGACCATCCCCCCTGGGGGGTGATTTCTCACTTTCTGTCTCTATGTCTCTCTCTGGTGAGCGCATGCACTCTGTAGCGAAAACCTAAAAAAAAAAAAAAAAAAAAAAAAAAAAAAAAAAAAAAGGCCCCCGTGCACGTGTGCAAAAACAGGCGCCTGTGCAAGTGTGCCCAAGATCCTGAGAGGAGAACGGAGCAGAAAGGATTGTGGTGTGGCTATCCCCACTGCAGGGTGATTTCTCACTGTCTCTGTTTCTCTCTCTCTCTCTCTGGCAAGTGCCCACACCCTAAGGCATAAACCTCTACTAAAAATTAAAAAAAAATAATAATATCAACATATGTATTTTAGGGGGACTATACAAACATTTGGAGTATAAGAGCATATATGCATACATGAATTATATAATTACTACTTATATAAGTATATATAATTTGTAATGTGTAATATCAAGAAGAAAATTTATTCACTTTCTGTAGTCCTCATTTCTATAACTACAAATGATAACAGTCATTTTAACTTTCTTACTCTACTACATTTCATGTATCAATTGCCTTTAAGTAACCCTATCTCATAATGGTTCTTTACCTGGTAGAGATACCATAATCCACTTTCCAGAAGAGCCTGAGCCTTCAGCAGCCTTTGCTATACTGGGTTGTGTACATTGTTGGAATATTCTCCCATGAATATTTATGCACAGACCCCAAAATTGAGGAGGCAATCAACAAACTTTTTTTTTAAAGTTTAGTCAGAGTAAATACTGAGAGGAGGTATTACCAGTTCATTCTTTGTGTAAAAACCTGTGTATCATGACATAAAAAAATGGCATGTGGCTCAAAGCATATTTTGCATGTTTTGGGAATGAATCCCAGAAGATGTTATGCTCTAGGTGGTGTCATAGCTGAGTCTCAAAATATTCTTCCATTTTATTAAGTCAATTGCTTCTGGGTATTTGAATCCATAGTAAGCACATCAGTCTTCTAGATATTGCTGTAATTTAAGTGTTGGGTTTGAAACATATGATAAAACTTGACACCTAATGAAGCAATATTGAGGGATGGGACCTAATAGGAGGGCTTTGAGACATGAGGAAGAAACTCTCACAAATAATTAATTCCCTGTCTTTGAAGGGAGTATGTCTCATTAGTTACTGCAAAAATAGGTCATATCAAAAGCTACAAGTTGGCTTCCTGAAGCTCTCTCTCTCTCTTTACATGTACCCATTTTCCTTTCTGCTTTCCTTGGCCACGTTGTGAGATGCCGGCTCCATGCCTCTGGATGAACTAGATGCCAGAATTGTGAGCCAAATAAACCTCTTTTTTTCTTTCTTTATTTTATTTATTTATTTATTTTTTTGGAGAGGTTTTTGCTACAGGGTGCATGCGCTCACCAGAAAGACAGAGAGAGTCAGAGAGACAGAAAGCGAGAAATCACCCTCCGGGGGGATGGTCACACCTCAACCCTTCTCCTCCATTCTCCTCTCAGGATCTTGAGCATGCACGCACACACACCCGGCGTGAGTTTAAGCCACCGGGTCCCGGACTCGAACCATGGTTGACTACATGGGAGTCCAGAAACATAGCCATTATGCTAACTGCTGGTCCCATAAACCTCTTTTTAAAATAA